GAGTTTGTTCTGTGTGGCATTCTAAAATGTCTCATGAACAACAGGTTAAGTTCCATCTGGCATTTGATGCCCCTTTCTCTTTATCGTCTATTGTGCCCAGGGGACATGGAAGGGTCCTCATACAAGTTTAGCCAAATAGAACTGGCCACAGAATACTTTCTCGGGCCATGCTGAGATGTAGATATCCCACAAACACACTTTGGTATACTTATATTTTATGAAAAACGATAAGCTGGAAGGGCCATAAACACTAGGCCAGAGGGTGGCAGATATTCTTGGGTTTTCTCCAAGACTGCCTTGGTTTTGCTTTCGAGAAATTAGTAAATACTTCTTGTGAGCGGAGAACCTGGGTGTCCTGTACCCAATGATGGCTACATGCCTTCCCTACTTTCCTGTATTCCTGCTCACCAGAAAGCAGTGCCAGTAGGAGCAAGACTCCCTGGTCCTGTGACATTTCCAATCTTTAGATACAACTAAGATACCTTGCAAATATAAAGTGACTTTCCCTTGTGTTTTGTTTGCTTGCTTGTTTGCTTGTTTCTTTTGTTTTTGACAGCCTTGGTTCTCCTGGAACTTGCTTTGTACACCAGGCTGGCCTAGAACTCACAGAGATATGCATCCTCTGCCTCCTAAGTGCTGAGATTAAAGGTATGCACCACCACCAGGCTTTTTTTGTTTTGTTTTTGACATCATATTTAAAAGACTGAAGGTGTGCCAAGGCCTAGGGAAGAGTCACGACTATTTCTGGGCAAGGCCCAGACAGCTTGCATTCATTTCTATTCTTCAGACGCAAAGACCTCAGGTCTAGATACCAGGCATGAAGCCATGCATCTCCTTCAGCCAAATGAAACCCACAAGCACTCCACCTTTACAATGAAGCTTGAAACCAGTCAAGCATTTTTTTTATTTTAAAAAAGAAAAGTCTAATGGTATACAGTCTCTACATGCTACAGCTAGGTGTTCACCCCCCTGCCCCCTCACATTAAACATGGGAAACAAAAGTCAACCCCAGGATCTGTCAGTCAGCCTAGTTGGTGTGAGAAGGGCTGAGAACCCAGGGGTCCCCAGCACCATCTGTGGGCAGACACACAATGGGCCATGCTGCTCAGAGCCCACTGTTCCTAGAGGGATGTCAGAAGCAACCTAGCTCCTCAGTGGCCCCAAAACAGGAACCGTGTATGGCTAAGGTGACCATGGTTTATCACATTCCCCAAGTAAGAGAGATGCTACTAATAATTACAGGGCACAAAGGCATTGCAGGCATAATATGGATACCTCCATTGCATTAGAATTGCTTATTGCTGTAGTAAGCTTGGTGGGGCACCTTTGCTCTTAAAAGCATAGAAATGAGAGTGAAGGCCACTGGTGATGTCACCAGATCTGGTCTTTTGAAGGATGAAAGCCCTCATTCTGACTGGCTTACTGTGGAGAAGATGGAGATGATAAGGAAGGTGGAACACTCACATATGAGGGGCTTGGTACCTCAACTAGATAGCACCGGAGACCAGGCATCACTCCCCAGAGCAGGGAGGTCTGGCCTGTGGGAAGTTTGTTCAGAAGGTGATCCATGAGCAGGTGAGAAGTATGAACCATTGTCTTGACTCTGTAGCTCTGCTTGGGGTCAGGTCAGTCCAGCTGCTAGAACCCTAGCAAGTTAGAAGCTATTCTTCCAAGCAAAGGCAAGGCCTCAGGCCTTGATGCAAATTCATTTCCCACCCATTCAGTTCACCCCTCTGACTTCAGGGAATCTTTGGTCTATGGTAGGATATGGCTGTCTGCAGTATACAGAAAAACCCTGAAGAACAGTTCAGACAGCCAGTGAAAGGGCCAAGATTGCCACACTATTCAGAGAAACAGCAAGGCTTCCCCAGGTGCAGTCTATGTTAGCACGGAAGAGCTCACTGGAAGGACAGGAGCTAAGCCATTAATGTTCTTGTTCATCTGCGATGCTGGGATGGAGCCGGAGCCCCATGAATGCTGGCCAGTGCTTTCCTGTTGCACCAGACCTCCAGTTGGCAGCTTTGAGGGTAAGAGGCAAGTTTCTTCCTCCCATTCAGAACACATATTTAGTGATAAATATTGAACTGTTCTTCTTAAGTCTTGGGGAGATCTGGTACCTATCCTTTACCCTGCTTTCCACCCACTACTCAAGTCCCCAGTGGGTTCAGAAACAATTTAAGGTCAAGAACTGTGCCATAGAAAGCTACTCTATGGAGAAGCCTGGTAGCAGAGGCTAGAAATGACTGTAAATGCCTGGCATGGCTCTAGCCATTTCCTGGCAGGATATGAAGTAGCTGGAGCTCAAACCTCCCCTGGCCTCCATATGGGGCCATGAATGGCCAAGAGTGACTCTGGCTAGTAAATATAAGCAAAGTCTCATTTTACCAAGTAGCCGTTTTCAAGTCCAGGTCTCCAGAGGTCAGGACACTACACTTGCTCAGGCTGAAACAATGCATCTAGAGAGCAGGGCCATCTGGCCCATGACCAATGTTTGTCTAGGAGGTTTGGGGGCAACACCTAAATTCAGAAACTGGGTCACCCGATTGCCTGCAAGGACTATACACTTTTCACTGCTGGTGGCCAGTATCTGGACAAAGCTGGAAGTACCATCATGCTCTACACCTTAACTTTCTTATTCATTACATATTGGGGCTGATTTTTGTCATCTCACAGTGCTGATGTGAAGATTAGTTAAAGGGGGTGGTGGTGGCAGGTTTGTGTTGGTGATCTGATTTGTAATTGGCCCAGACATTGCTTCCATGGTCTTGGAAGTTTTCCAAGGCAGGGATGGGGGGTGGGAGGGAGAGTCTGGCATAGGCTCCATCCCAGAGGACTAGATGTTGAAAAGCTAAGTCCCAGGTTGTGTGAGTCGCTGGCTCTACGTACTCACTTCCAGTTGACCAGAGCAATGATGACCACTATAGCTGATGGAGCTTGCCACAGAATCTTCAGACTGTGCGGGTGACCCAAGAAAAGGACAGTGAATAAGAATGCACCTTGCACACCTATAGTTTGCATCAGCATAAGGAGAGGACAAAAGGCAAATTCTAGTACCTGTTGCAAAGTAGGGACTTGCAAACTACTAGAAAAAGTTACAGAGCCAAATGCAAACAAGAAAACAAACAAAAAATAACAACAACAACAACAAAAAAAAAAACCCTTTGCTTCTTCAAAGACCTGTAAAACAGCTTCATGAAAGCTATTCAAGTGAAGGTGTCAAAACTCAAACAAAGCAAAGCAAAACCAGACAAAAGCTATGAGGCTTCCTGCACAGAGGAAATGTGTGTAGCCATGAAGAAATGCTAACTCTCAGCCTTCCCTCTCTCTAACTACTGCTTTCTCCTGAAGCCTTGGGCACAGACTAAGCAGGAATGTCCCTCAGGAGGTCAGGAGGTGTCTCACACCCTAGCCCAGTACTCCGTGTGTGTGTGTGTGTGTGTGTGTGTGTGTGTGTGTGTGTAGCTAAGCAGAGGAAGTAAATCATGGTGCCTCCACTGGCCAAAGGAAAGCAACCAGAGCTGGGGGGCACAGAGAGGGGGCAGGCAGGGAAGGAATGGGGGTGCAGAAGAGATCTGCTTGCACAAAATCTTTGGCACTGCGGGTAAGATGCAAACATCTTGGGAAAGGGGTTTTGTGGTTCCCAAAGCACAGGTTAAAAAAAAAAAAAAAAAAAAAAAAAAAAGAGTGTGTGTATGACAGATTCCTGGGGTGGGTATAGAGCAGGACAGGGTAGCCTCTTCTACAGGGTCTTTGGTTCATAGGTACCAGTTGGTCTGGGCTGGGGGCTAGAAATCTGATTTTAGCCCTGCAATAGCTATGAGACCTCCTGAGGTCTCAGTTAAATCTTTTAGTCAAAATAGGGAAGGGCTGCCCTGGGAGAGAGCATGCTAAATAGCAAACTGCTCTACAGGAAGCCACACCTGCTAAGGGCAAGAGTCTTGGCTATTGCATGGTCTTTGCTACTGTTGTTTTGCTTAGTTTGTCACCAACGCTGTTGCTGGTCCTTAGCTACCACAGCCCCCTTCAAACCACCAAGGGACGCTGCCTCAGCTTTCTGTATTCCCCTTCTGCATGCGGGGTACCAGCCTACAAGCTCTGTGCTAGCTACTAAGGATCCAGGTCATCCCCTGCCCTGGAGAAGCAGCTACAAGTTTAGGGCAATCACTCATTACTGTCCCCTTGCTTATACCACAAGGAAGCCCCCAGGCCACCTGCCCTGATACCCAGTCAACCCCTATCTCTTCCCTCACTGGCTTGTTCTTTCTGGGAGAATATGGGAGATGGATCAGGCAGGCCTGGACTCGAACTTCCTCCCTCCTCTTCCTAGTGTATGTTCTGGTGCCTGTATAGCCCGAGTTTCCTCATCTAAAAAATGGGTGTGATAGGATAGTGGGGGCTGGTTGAAGGTTTGGATATGAAGGCAAAAGGTCAAGGGCAGTTTGGCACCTACCAGGCAAAGAAGCACCCACAGGCCAAGTGCCTTGTGAAGGGCACCTTATTTAAACAAACTTGGGAACTCTTGTTTTAGGGACTGGGGAGGAATTGTAATTTGAAAGCCCTGGATGGACCAGAGGCAACAGCAACGAAGTGCAGAACACTCCTTGAGGACTGATCATGGTCCAAGGCAGACAGATGGGAGGCAGGATGACTAAGTGACTCTCCAGGACCTCTTCAGGGCAGCTGGCATCTGTTCAGGACTAAGAAATAGAAAGCCCGGAAGCTGATTCCTTCAGGACACAGTTCTTCCGGGTACCGGAACAGTGAATAAAGCCACTACTGGGCTTCTAGGAACATGGAGAAGTTAGAGTGAGTTGTCACAAGCTGTGTGAACTGTCCCCCTATGCTACATCTGAGCACTGAGGTGCAGTCTGGAAGCTTTCCAGGTGACAGGTCTCAGTTCTGGCGGCCTGAGAGTGTCACTGTCCTGCTCCTGGGTGACAAAACCATTCACTAGGAGAATAGATGCTACTATAAGGGGGATGTGACGTGATTTCTACCTGGAAAAGGCTTCCAGGGATGCCCCAATAGGAGAATCAGACCCCAGGCAACAGGACATCTCTGCACCAAGCATTCCCCACCCTGGGAGGGAAGAAGACACAGCACCCCAATGGCCTCCTTCCGTGAAACTATGTGGAGACTGATAAATTAAGATGGGTATTAAATACGGGGGAGAGGCTGGCAGGGAGAGCAGGGGGTCTCTGGGCGGGGTGGCAAAGCTAAGGTTTCTTCCGGAGGTAGTTGGAAGGAATCCAGCCTTCCCAGGAAGGAGCCCCGCTGAGGACCTGGCAGAACCACCAGCCACTGCTGCTCTTCTCCCGAACTTCAAACACTGTCCCTTCCTGGAAGCTGCTGGTGTCTTCATCTCCTTCAAAGTTGGCCACGGCCACATACAGTGAGTCCTTTGGGCCATCGGCATTGAGGAAGGAGGCTGCTTTCTCTCTGTTTTCTCCCACCTTGCCAGCTGTGCGTGGCCCTGGCCCACCTTTGCCTCGCATGTCATCTTGGCCCATTGAGGAGTTGGAGAGGAAGGGTTTGGCTTTTGGAGGGACAAGGAGGGCCCTGCCTGGGGCAGGAACGGCCTTGCTTTCGTTGGCTTCACGCTGTGGCCCTCTCACCTCTGGGAGGGGCCTGCATGACAACGGTGATGAGGATGTTTTCTTGGGGGGCGGGGGTCTTCGAGGCGGGACCACAGGTCTTTGCTGAGTGGCTTCTTGGACAGGCGTGGGCAAATTCTTGGGCCCAGGGTCTGTGGTCTTGGCTGGCCTGGGAGGGGCTCGGCAGGGTGACTCCTTTGGACTCAGCCCATCCTGTCTACCAGACCTGTCCTGACCACGGCCAGGTCCCTCTGCTGGAAGGAAGCTTCGGCTGAGGGCTGTGTCATGGCCCCCAGCAGCATGGTGGCTCTCCCCATCCAATAAGGCCTTTTCCTGGCATTTGGCAGGTCTGAGTTTGCTCCTGAGGTTATGTATGTCCACTTGATCTTCACTCTGAGCTGGCTCTGTCTTGGGGGAAGGAGTTGGCTTGGGCCTAACCTGAGGTCTAGACTTCAAGAATGGATTCTGGGGAGTGACTTCCACCCTCTCTTCGGGCAGCTCAGCTTTGGACCTGGAGATGGGACGGAGGTTGGGCTTCTTTAACTCCTTGGCCAGCACCTTGTGACCACACTCTAGCCCCATGTCGTTTTTCAGCAGGAACAACTTGCTTTTGTCAGGTTTGGGCTCTGGCTTCCTACTGTCCCGGGCTGGCGGGGCATGCTTGGCTGGAATCATTGGCAAAATCATGCCAGGGGGCTTGGGGGACGAGCCCCTGAGAGGCTCCATCTTTTGTCTCTCCCTCTCCAGCAGCTCCTCTTCGGACTTGATGATGGACTCTTTGCGTGGAGGGAGGCTGGGCTTCTCCTCCTGTGTGGGGTCTGAGATCTCCTCATAGCCTGCTGATGCAGACAGGTCTGAAGATGCCTTTCTTGGGGCCTCCTTTCCCCCCTTCCAGTCTTTGGACCACAGCATCCCAGAGTCCATACCACCATGTGGTGCTTCAGGCAGGGGTCTGGAGGGCCCCACTGCTTCTGGACCCACATTGTTCTCCATTGCAGTTGCATCCCCAAGCCGCAGCTGAGTCATCTCATGAGGCAGGGGAGCCAGGAAGTTGGGCCTTGAGGCACTGCTGGTCTTCTTGTACTTGTCGATGAAGGTTGCTGGGGCCCACCCCTCCTTATCTTCCATCTGAATGTACCACCAACCACTTAAGCTCTTCTCAATCACCTAGGAGGGGGAAAGGGAAAACACTTAGTAGGGCAGGTCTGATGCCACCCCCTAGGCAGAGTCCACAATTTATGAAAGAACCCACACGAAACCCTGAAAGCTGTATGACAGTGTGAATGAAAATGACTCCCATGGGCTCTTCATGTCAAAAATCCTGCTCCACAGTTGGTGGAACTGTTTGGGAAAGACTAGGAGGTGTGGCCTTGTTGGAGAAAATGTGTCACTGCAGGTGGACTTTGAGGTTTCTAAAGACTTGTACCATTTCCTCTCTCTCCACCCTTCACCCCCCCCCCCCCCCCGCCTCTTGCTTGTGGATCAAGAAGTGAGCTCTTAGCTGTTCTCACTGCTGTGCCTTTGCTTCACCATTATGGACTCTTAAAAACCTCGGAAACTGTAATCCCAACTAAATGCTTTATAAATTGGCTTGGTCATGGTGCTTTGTCACAGCAAGAGAAACTAATAGAACCAGCTATGGGCACTGTATCAGGGCACCTCACTGAAGGTGGGTTCTTGTCCATGTATTGCTACATTGCCTAGTCTAGCTTCTAATTCCCAGCTCAAGCCATCCTCCTGCCTTAGCCACCTGAATAGCTGGGGTTATAGGTGCACACTGCTATATCTATCAGGTTCTTGTCCACTTTTGGTTGTGATGGGAAACCTTTGAAAGATGTGGCTGACAGTACCTTAGAAGGCACCTCTGGGGGAGGGGGTACTTATTGATACCCAGCCCCTCTGCACCATGGGCTTTAATTCCCTTTCCCTTGTGTAAGGTGGGAAGCTACAGAGACAGCTTGGGAGGACTAGGCCACCAACACCATCTGCTGTAATGCCAAAGAACTACAAGGCAAAAGCCACAAAGTGATCTTGGCTTCTTTGGCTGAACACCAGAAGAGCTGGCTGGTGTTTATGGTAGCTATGAAAATGAGAATCTTCAAACACAGGAATCATGCTTAGGTTGATGATATGCTATGTTAACATCCAGGGGAACGGAGGCTGGTAGAATAATGCGAGTTTCATCTCTTCTCTCCATCTCTCCCTCATGCCCATACCCACTAGATAGATGATGGGTAGAAATGCTATTGTTATTTAAGATATGATATTTCCTGTGTCTTTTTGATACAGTATCATCTCAGTGAATTCTTTGAGATGAATGGCACACAAACTATGCTATGGACTGAAGTGTGCCCCCAAATTTACCTTCAGTACTCCAAATGTCCATGCATCTGGATAGGACCTTTGAAGAGTTAACTAGGTGGAAATGGGTCATAAAATCAGGCTCTAGTTTACCAAACTGATGTCTTCAAAGGAAGAGATTTGGAATACAGAATAAGGGACTGCATGTAAGGACACAACAAGAAGGTGGCTATGTGTAGTTCAAGGAAAGAAGTCACAGGAGATACCAGTCCTGCCACATCTTCATCTTGGACAGCTCCAGCACCACTAGAAAGTGAATCACTGTTGAACTAGCCCATCTGAGGTATTTTGGTATATGGCAGGCTTAAGAAAACCAGCACCAGCAATTCCCCAGCAGGTTCTGTACACAGGAAATCTGATGCTCATGATCCTCCTGTGATCCAGGGACAGTCATCTCACTGGACAAATGCAGAGTAGAACTCCAGGAGAGCTGTGGATCTCGAAGAAGGTTCTGGAGAAAGTGAATGGTGGAGGTGAGAGTAGAGGGCAGGCAGCTGGGCTCTGAGTACTGCCAGACCCTGCCTCTTAGGAAGAGCCAAGCCTGGCCTGAGAAACTGCTCTAGGAGTCACAAGGACTGAGGGCTGACAGGAAGGATAACAGCTACAGACTCAGCACTGGGAGGCCACCTCTGGGGCCTGCAGTGTTGAATTTCAGCTCGGAGATATGCCACCTGAATGATGTCAGCAGTAGTAATAGCCAATGGCAAGATTATTAATGCCTGAACAAGCAAAAGCACACTATCTTTGTGAAAGCATGCAAGTGCACTTGGTAGATGTTACATTAGCAAATCAGAGGGAAGGTCTCCAAGGAAAGGATGCGCTGCACAGGCTGGACAAAGTGACTCTAGTGGGACTGACAAACAGGTGGCCAGCATACTATTCTACTCAGTAGTGCTGGGTACAGTTAATGTCACTGCTGGACACGTAGCTTTCATCAGCAATTCAACTCCATCACTAAGACAGTGAGGGAAGGAAAATGGGATAAACAATGAAAAGAAGAGGCCACTGTGGCTCTATTACACTGACATTCAAGGGAAAGGAGAGTGGTACAAACTCTGGACATTTGGATTTTTGTTTTCTGTTGAGACAGGGTCTCACTATATAGCCCACACTGCCCTGGAACTATCTATGTAAACAAGGCTGGCTCCGGCTCATAGAGGTTGGGCTACTTCTGCTTCTTAAAGGCATATACACCCATGCCTGCCTCCTACTTGGATTTTTAATCATGTTTTTGTTGGTAGACAGAGCCATGTATTATGACAAAAGAAACTAATGCAAGGTCACTAGTATGAGAGGGGACAGCCTGGGCTCTTCAGACAGATTTCAGTTCAAGTCCTTGCTCCAGCACTTACTCACTATGCCCTGAGATGAGCATTTACCCACCCCCCAGAGTTATATCTGTAAGACAGGCTGACATCGATCTCCCAGGCCTCCTGTCAAGCTTTGTTCTCAAGTAGGTAAGGCACCAAGGAAGTACCTACACCAACTGTACACTCACCACTGCCACCTGACTGACATCTCAAAACATGTTTGAAAGATAAACAGGGCAGACACTGAGCTGACTCTCACTGTAGCCTGACTGCCAGGAGTCTCTGGATTCATTAATGAGTGTGGAGGACCTGAAATTATATAGACACGAACCAGAGAGCAAAAGAGGATAAAAGAAAACGGTGTATAGAACTCATCATAGGAAAGAACAGCTGTTTAAGCCCCAAGCTTCAGTGGCAACCATTCCCTCAAAACTCTGCCAGCGGGATCTGTCAATGTTGTAGGACTATAAAGCAAAACAGTCTCAAGGTGGCTGGTGGCTATGATTTTGTTAAAGAATGCTTGACGGGCTGGGCATGGTAGCACACACCTTTCATCCCCATTCTTGGGAAGCAGAAGCAGGCATTATGAATTCTAGACCAGCCTGATGTACATAGTGAATTCCAGGTCAGCTAGGGCTACAAATGGGGCCGCCGGGGGAAGAGTGCTGGATATGAGTTTGTTGCTGGACCAGCTTGAGCAAGAATAGAGGCGGAAGGTCAGAAAAGGAAAAGAGTGGCAACACTCCATTAACATCCTGAACATTCTGAGCTGGGGTGGCAGCACCTACAGCTCAACATCCTGTATTAGTAGAAACTGCAGGAGATACATTGCCAAAGGACCTCTAACTTTCACGAACTGAATCAAACCCAGGGTCTGTGTGCGTACACCAGGCCTATGCTCTACCACAGAGCTGTGCCCCCAGCCCTTAAAGGCTGTGTCTTAAAATCACATGGTGGTTTTCAGCTCTCTGGGGAAAGAAGCCTTTCATAGACTATAGTGTGGGCTTCTGGTTTCAAAGTGGAATGGACAGTTGTCTTCTCTTTATGCAGCATATTCAAGGAAAGAAAGCCATGGGGCTGCAGCCCAGGTCAGAGGGAAGTAGGGGGAGGGGTGGATTAAAGTCTAGAAGAAGCCTCAGGTGACCACTCCCAGTTTCTCAGAGGGCACGGAGTTCTGCAAAGGGTAGGAGACAGGGTGGCACCGAGTGGGGTGGAGACAGGAGCCAGCACATGACCGGGAGAAACTAGGATGTCACCACACAAGCAGCCAGCCTGGCTGGCCTCTGTCCTAGGTCCTGTTCTTGTATGGGAGACTATATAGGTGGCAACTGTGACCCCCTGCAGGCTGGGATCACAGAGCTGTGACACTGCTCTGTGGCTTAGAAGTCTCTAGAAGCCAGTCAACCTCTTTTGTGTATTTCCATGGACTACCTCATATCTTCCTTGTCTTTTCATTCTATGATGCCTGACCATGGGACTCATGTGCTTGGCAACTACTCTTACTTCTGAGCTACAGCTCTAGCCCCTGCAGCCCAAACCAGGGACTGCCAACACGGAATAACTGCAGTAATATCAATAACAGCACAAAGTGACAATCGAGGAAAAAGATAATCACTGATAGCAACAGGACTGAAAGTTCAACCACCATGCTTACACAGATAGAGAAGAACACCAAATTAATCCAAGGCCAGATGAAACAAGAACAGGCAGCTGTGAAAAAGAATCAAGAATGCTTGGAAATGAACATCATAATTGTTGAATGAGAACGAGTAACATACTGAACAGCTGAAGAGAAAACTAATGAACTAAGAGACTGGGCAGGATGTCCTAAGGATGTGCCACTCATCTTCCTGTGGTCAATACGTCATCTTAGATGGCATCTACCATCTGCAGATAGGTAGGAAGTAAGAAGTTATATTGTACTGTTTTGGGGGGAAATGACAAGCCAAAAAGTACATGTTCCACAGAGCTATAATCTTTTCTTTTTCTTTTGTTTTTTTGAGACAGGGTTTCTCTGTGTAGTCCTGGCTGTCCCAACACTCAACAGAGATCCACCTGCTTCTGCCTCCCAGGTGTTGTGATTAAAGATATGTAACACCAACATCTGGTGTAATCTTATCTTTTTAAATGCTCGCCAAAATCACAGATATGATCCTAGGAACATGAGGAGTGACTGGATTATAGATATCATAGAGATGAGCAGATTTAATATCTGCCTCCTGAAGTGGGGTTTACTCATGACAGAGCAGAAGTGGGGGTGCCAGAGGTCAGGTCAGTTGGTTCTGTTGGGAGGCATCTTCGAAGATTTCTTACCCCATGTTTTGATGCTGTCCTGCAACCTGCAGGCTTTCTCAAGTGCATGGGAAACATCTTTCATCCCTAAGCTTGTGGAGATAAAAGATACACACGAGAAGACAAAGGACTTACTATGGCTACCCAGGGATACAGAGCACACATGCAGAGAACGGGATGGAAAGATGAGAGCAGGGAAGCAGGAGGTGATAGGAAAAGGAACATAGGACCGGGAGATGGCTCAGTGGATGAAAGCACCCGCTATGTAACACTGATGACCCAAGTTTGATCCTTGGACCCATGGTAGCTCAGGACTGTATTCCCAGCCTCAGCACTCCTATGGCAACAAGGGAGGTGGAGGAGACAGGGGTTTCTGCTAAGGGCATTGGAACTAGAGGGTGGTGGTGGTTACACAACTCTGAATAAAAGAAACCACCGACTTTTCCACTCAAGTTGGCAAACAGTTTGGTATAATCATACCTTAATAAAGCCATTAACCTTGTCTCCCCTCCCTCATAGCAGGAGGTAAGAAGAGAGAAGGCAATGCCAAGAATAAAGAATGATAGCATGTGTGCTCACCTCGACTTTCAGGCCGGCCTGGAAGCTGATGCCGTCTGGGATGGTGGTCTGGAACTCTGCAATGGTGTAATACTCTTCTTCCACCTGGGGTGGGATGGGAGGCTTCGGCAGGTTGAGGCCTCGAGGCTGGCAGGATTACACATGGGGCTGACTGAGTCATGGTAGGATGAAGGGACTAAGGTATAGAACATCACCACTGATGGGATGCTAGGAAGCCTAATTAGCTTCTGAGGGGCAAAACAAAGGGATTTTGCTGAGCTTAGGTCTCACTTGGCCTTCAACTTCACAGTAACAGGAGCAACATGGGACATGCCAGCATATCATGAGAATTTGGGAAAACACAAAAGTGTCTGAATGTAAGGGACCGCAGACAGGACTTTGAATCAGACCCATGTGGGTTGGAATGCCGATGAAAGGGCCATGTCAAGCCTCCTCTTCATCTCCTGTAGAATGGGCAGTGCTGGACAGGTACCCAAGAAGTGGCTGACATTTTCCAAAGGCCACTTTCCAAATTTCTTGTAGTCACCAGTGTTTTAGAGTTTGAATATTTATATATATAGTAACACATCCTGGAGATGGGATCTAAGTTCACACACAAAATACATTTATGCTTCATGCATACCTAGCCTGAGAGTAGCATTTTATGGTATTTTTAGTCCATCTGTGTTCTGACTGTGCTCTGAGGTCAAGTATGGAATTCACATTCCACTTTTGGTGTCATGTTGGTGCTCAAAGTGTCAAGATTTTCAAGCATTTTAGGTTTTTAGATTAAGGATGCTCAATGTATATTGGTTAAAATGGTACCTACAGTCAGGACATGGTGGTGCACGTTTTTGATCCCAGCACTCAGGAGGCAGAGGCAGGCAAATCTCTGTGAGTTTAAGGCCAGCCTGGTCTACACAGAGATTTCCAGGCTAACCGGGGTTATATAGTGAGACTATGCCTATAAATAAATAAATGGACATAGAGTCAAAAATGGATCAGAGGACCAGATGTTATCACAGACAAACGCGTGCCTCTAAGATTCACATAGGTTGTCCCATGAAAAAGGATAACTGCTTGAAAAGGACTGGAATATGTGAGGTCTGGTGGGTAACCCTGACAGGCCCCAGGCCAAGGAGATGGGGCCCTAAGGCAAGTGTGCACTTACAATGGTCATGTCCCGGCGAGGAGGGGGTCTCTGCCTCATCTTTGGTGATCCTATGGGGAAACAAGACTTCACTGAGATGCAGAGTTCCACAGACAGATTCCCAGCTGTGGGAGCCAGGTGGGGTCTCATCCCTTCCCAGGAGCCACATGTTTGTGTTTCTATGAGCCTTTGTGCGAAGAGCCTCAAGCTAGGCTCAGGACCCTCCATTAACATGGCCTTCCCTGGATCTTTTCTATATGGGAACAACAGATGAATGGCACTGACCTTCAAGTAAAGGGTAACTGTCCATGCAGGGTGTAAAGCATGGGCTCAGAGCTATATAGGGCTGGGCCGAGACTCATCCCAGCACAGCACAAAATTACTGTTTGACTCTGAGCCATAGGTCCTTTTCTGTGGGATAGCCTGATGCATACCTCTCCCCAAACAGCTGGGTGTCGTGAAATACTGACTTCCATATCTACTAGAGTATTTGAAAATGCAATAGTCTTAGCTAAGACATTTAGCTGCCCATAGAAGGACAACCATTCTGAGACTTCCTTGCAGCTTGGTGTTGCCACATGACTAAGTCCAGTGGAGTATGAGGGAAAGTGGAACATTAGAGTTGTTTCACTCCTCCCTGATGAGGCCAACACGAAATGTGGGAGACCAAGATCCTTGACTGCATGGAATTATCATCTCAGCTGTGAACATAAAACTGCTCTACTGTGTAGAATGGAAATGAGTTTCTAGATCAAATGAGCCACTGTTATTAGGTGTGTGTGTATGTGAGGGGAGGAGACTTTGTTTAGGCATCTGAACATCCTAACAAAGTCATGTTACTTCAGATTTTCGTTTGGTCCCCTAGCATTAGCAGACTATGCTCTTGACCATGAGAGTCCAGAACCACAGATCTCTGTGGAGGGAACATGGAACTCAGCCCAGTGCCCTCATCTTTGTGAGGAGCTGGTGTCCTTTCTCCACAGAATCTTGTTGCCTTCAGGACCAGCACAGGATGCTGGGCACTGTGTTGAGGCCACAGTTCCAAGTACAAGGCAGACAACTATGAGTAACCCACTCTTGGGTGTGTGGGGAATACTAATAGGAAAATACATATAGGGAGGCTTGGAAGAGCAAGATGGGTGAAACAAAGCCAACATGGCTCACTTATGAGGTCATGGAGAAGACTGAAGGGTGTGGGCTTTGGGTTCAACCTCCAGTCCCACTGCTACCAGGTGAACAACCTATTTTTATGATTTTTATCTAGAAAACAAAAGCAGTCTCTCAAAGGCTGTCAGGGGAGCTAATCAGGAGACTCTCGACACATACTGAGAGCCTGATCATCATGACACAATGGGGCAATGTAGGGAAGGGGCAGAACACTGCTCAGATTCTGTAGTCTGCTGGTCCAAGGGTCTGGACAAGTTCCCCAAGTTTTTATTTTAGCCAGCAGGATATCAATAGATAGCAGGCTGTTGCAAGGAAAGAAGAAGGGTGACATGGAAGGTGCTCTAAGCTCAGATAGACCTCAGCTATCCGGAGCAAGGGTGGGTATCACTCACTCTGCTTAACGTCACCATCTGGCACCAGGCGACCTTCAAACCGGCCATCCCTCTGGTTGTTGAGCAGCTCCTTGTCCCTGCCCAGAACATTCTGATGCCGAGAAACACCATCCAGGTCAAGGGCCCCTGAGTGGGCAGAAGAGCTGGAGCCCAGCTTTGGGGGCAAGGGCTCCCCACTGCTTTTCTTTAGGTAGGAAGCAGGGGCCCAGCCCTCTTTGCCCTGGAACCTGGGAGGAAGGGAAAGGTTTCTGGTCAGGTTGGTCTGCAGGGCCTTGGTGTGTGGGGCAGGGAAGCCATGCTTCTATATGTCAGGTTCAGGACGGTAGATGTGGTGGTTTGCAAGAAAATGGACCCTAAAGGGAGTGGCACTAGTAGGAGGTGTGGCCTTGTTAGAGGAAGTGTGTCACTGTGGAGGCGGGCTTTGAGGTCTCACATATACTCAAGCCACGCCCAGTGAGACAGACCACTTCCTGTTGCCTGTGGGACAGGATATAAGAACTCTCAGCCTACTTCAGCACCATGTCTGTCTGCACACTGCCATGTCCCACCATGATGATAATGGATTGAACCTCTGAACCGTAAGCTAGCCCAATTAAATGTTTTCCTTCAGGAGAGTTGCTGTGGCCACAGTGTCTCTTCAGAGCAATAGAAACCCTGACTAAGACAATGGGACAGTGAACTCTGTGTTGTGGGCCAGAACATGCAATCCACTGCCCTTGGATGGTGCCTAAGCCTTCACACTAGCCTTCCAGGGTCTCCCCACTTGTTTCCTACCTGCCTCTATCCCTTCCACTTGCGTCTCCCAAATGCAACACTGCTTGTCACTTCCCCACATTGCTGCTTTTGGTGGGCCTCTACCTGGCAAGCTCCCCCCTCCCTCCTGGTGGCACCTGCTCCTCTTTCCAGGCTTTAGTTGATGTCATTAAGTCTTCTTCCAATCCCTAAGTGAGGCCCAATCTCCACAATGGCCCTCTGGCTTCTGCACACTCTGTAATCCCAGCACCTGCAAAATGCACTTGGTTGTGGTATTCTTGTCTAGTCAGAATATGAGCCCTTGGGTACGAGCACCTTGGTATCAGTGAACTCAATAAAGAAGTGAAAGGCCAAGGGGACAAGCCACCAATGTCAAGTCACATCATGGGCAAGCAGCAGTAAAGCTCTGCATCAGGGCTGTCCCCTTCAGTACCGCTGTGATGGTGACAACAGTCACGACAGTGAGGGACAGCACTCTTGCCACCTGCTCCATCAGTCCTGCCCTAAGCACTTCACAGCTGATAGTGTTTGAGCATAGTCAATCTTGGCAGGAGGGACTACAGGTCCAGCCCCCAACCCCCACTTCCCAGCGAAGCTTCTTAAGCACTGATGTGACCCCCACCAATGGAAAATTCCACATTTGACTTCATGTGATGGATCACAGTGAAAATGCAGCTGTAGCAGACTTGCATGAACTCATCTTCCAGCTGTGCTAACACAGTATACATGCAAGACAGCGAATCTTGGCTCTCCCTGTGGCTCTCCTCATCCCCAAGACATCACATTACACATATGCCACATTCCCAAAACATGAAAACATCCCAGATCCCAAAGACTTCTCTTACCATGCATTTGAGATAAAGGGTTTTCAACCAGAATTGGGATCTGTCTTAAAGACAAGAAGATTGAGACCCATTGGTGTTAAATGCCTCACTCAAGTTTTCAAGCACATCTGTGGCAGGAACAGACTTAATTTCTTCTTTATGGCATTTTACCAGCAGCCTCAGCCCCTGGTTCAAAGCCTTGCACTGACAGGGCAGGGCTCTGTGTCGTTTGACATAACATACTTAGACATGAATGGTGTCGTTTCATGTTGGCTGCCACTGAACTGAGGAATGACAGGGACTCCAACACACTAGCTCACTGTCCCTAAAAAGGATATCAGCAAGGACAATGACTGCTTAATTCTCACATGGCAGACCTTGGGTTTCATAATAACAAGTCAGGTCTGTTTGGAACAGAGATGTACTGGAGTAGGCTCACACTGGATCACAAGAGCCCACGACACGGATTTCTTCTAAACTCCACATTTAGTGGCATCACATTGGTGGCTTGAAAGTGGCCACAGGACAGGTATTTATACCATGGAAATCAACCAACCCCACTGAGAGCTACTAGTACCTCTCCAAACAGGTACTCACACCTTTGGGTAAAGAGCTGACCAGTCATGATTCTGGCAGAGCCAAATCTCATTAAAATCACTTAAAGAAGCTGGGCAGTGACACACACCTTTAATCCCAGCACTCCAGAAGCAGAGGCCAGCCTAAACTACATAGTGAGTTCCAGGACAGTCAGGGCTATATAGAAGCCCATCTCAAAAAACAAACAAACAAACACACACACACACACACAAACAAACAAACAAAAAACCCAATCCCCCCCCAAAATAAAACTGCTTTAAAAACAAAATGGCAAAATGGCTTAGGTTTCAGTGAAAAACAGGTAATTGTAACTGGAAGGCAAATTTACAAGGAGTTAGAAATCTGTACAATTAAGCATTTGTCAAACTTAAAAAGCCCTCTGAAAGAGAGTAAGTCTTGCTTTAAGTGGAAAAGGCTAGCTGAAAATACAACACAAGGCACATCCTCAGGCCATCACTTGGGGCACAAAGCCCTAAGCCCAGGCAGCACACATGGGAGCATGGGAGAGTGAGTAGGCTCTGGGGACACTTCTCAGCTTCGGATGACACTTACCCTCACCCTGACAACTGCACCCTGGACTCCAGAGCTGTGAGTTCCAGGGTATGTTACTCTGCAGCATGGTGCTGTGACAGTCACGTGTCATTTAATGATTGAACAATTTCTGAGAAATGCTTTATTAGTGACTCCTACCCTGGGCAAATACCACAGTGTGCTTACACAAACTCAGGCAGAGCAGCCCACTACACACCCAGGCTATGGTGTAAGTCATATAATAGTGTTCTGTTCTCTGAGGCTTGGGGAGCTCAGAGGTCTAGTCTGTTAGGACTTTACAGGAAAGATATCATCAGGGAGGGAGGCCATATCACATTAAGATGTGTCCTCTCATGGCTGAGGCAGAAATGTCACCTGCCTGCAGTTTCTCACAGACCTCTGTGAAGCTGGAGCCCATCAGGGCCCAGGATCCACTGAACCACAGGGGAGGCATAGGCAGATACCTGATCTTCCACCAGCCTTCCAGGTTCTTCTGGATGACCTCCACCACAGCCCCTCGCTCTAGGTTCATTTCGTCCTGGTCACGAGCTGTGTATGGGTAGATGACTGTGTACTTCTCCTCTGCAGGGACACAGGGTGACGGGGTGAGAAAGAGACCGGAGAGGTCCAGGATGCTGGCTGTGAATGTGAGTTGCACAGAGGGAAATTCTCTGTGAGGTTTCTGGCTCTCCAGGCTCCTGCAGGCAGAGCTCTAGAGGTCCCAGTCCCTCTGATGTCCTCAACATCACACAGCCACCCTTGCTTCTTTCCAATCTGTGCCTCAAGGTCATGGTTCATGATTTCATGCAACATTCTGACACACAGCATCCTCATCTCCCTCGCTCAGGTTAACTCCCCCATTTCAGGAATTGCCTTCTAACTAACTCTACTTTCACTATTGTTTCAAGTCTGTTTCCCCTGGGAAGAGTACGGGCTCCATGAAGGCAGGGTCTGGTCTATCTCAGTCATGTCTTTGCCTCCAGCACTGGAAGAAGCCTGGAAAAGCTGGCAATTGTTTCATGAGTGAGTATCTGTTTAGTGAGGGAGAATGTTCTGAACCCTGCCCCCGGCAGGGCTTGGGGGTTCCTTGCACACACAATGAGTTAAGGCCCTGGGCTCCTGCTAGTTCTTGCTGGTGGAGACCAAGAGTTCAGAGATAAGCTGAAATTGCCCCAAGGTGGAGAGAGAGCGCTTCTCATTGCTTAGACCATGACTAGATTACACTTTTTATTGGCCATGTACAGCCCTGATTCAACCATGCTTGTACCTGCATGGCTGGGTTGTTTTTCCCACCCCACTCTCCCCACAAGCTACAGCACTATCCTACAGCCCACACTCCTCCCTGACAGCATCTCCCACTGTGTTACCACAGCAGCTTGGAGATCCTGCTCATTGGCAGACCCTGGGCAGGATGCTCAGGAGAGTAAGGGAACAGTTCCCATCTACAGTGTCTGCACTGGCTGCTGACACAGAGAAATACAGACGCATGTCCCAAGGGAGCCCAGGAAGGAGAAGAGAGGGCTCTTAGATTACATTTCAGACCATAGGTGAGTGGCTCAGCCAGCCATGGTCTGGTGCTCATGCTTCTTGGGAAAACACTTGAGGCATCTGTTGCCAGCCAGCTGCTGCAGAGGAGGTGGGAAGCACTCAGGCATTTATTTATTTATTGAAATGGCCTGCTGACCCACTCTGAGGGGGCTGTGCCAACTTGTGGCACACATCTTGTGTTTAGCATGGTTAGCTGGTTCTCCTTGAATCAGCAGGTACCAGGCTGTGGTAGGAGAGAGGGAGGGAGGATTCTGCTGGCCAAGCATAGTTTTGTGTGGTCTGGGTGGAAAGGGGCACTAGCTGGGTCCTCATCTGAGATAGTTCAAACCCATGAGCCCTGGGTCCCCTCAGGCTCCATCTGGGAGGGATCTCAAACTGTGGGATGCTAGAGATTCTGAGTGACTGCAGACTGAGCTCGGGGGCTGCACAAGCAATGCCTGCCCATTTGCTGGTGGCTCGTCCATGTGCTGTGGAGGTGGCTGAGACCCTATCTCCTGGAGGGGAATGGATGTGCATGTGACCTTGGCCGAATCACAGTACTCTAAGGTCTGGCTGCTGTGATTGGTTCAGGGATGACACACAGTGGGAGGTCTGGGGGGAATCAGTCCTAGTGCTTGTACTGAAAGAGAAGCTGATTTTTTGGTGACTGTCCCTGATAGGTCTAGGATCGGTGTCATGAGAAATAGAACTGTATCGATGAGACAGAATAGGGCAGAGGTGGCAAGGGTACAATCAGCCTTGCTTGAAAGCTAGTTCTTGCCTGGCTTTTCAGTGATTACCACCGAGCCCCCCCCCCCCCCAAACTTTTAAAGACAGAGTCTCATTATGCAGTTCAAGCTGTCCTCAAACTCATGATTGCCTTGTCTCAGCCTTCAAGCTATAGGTATGAACCACTCACTACTAACCTGGCTTTTTGCTTAATCTGGTTGATGTGGCTTCCTCCTGTGACTCAAACAAGTTTGACAAAAGTAATGGGGCTGCCCAGTCACTCTCATAGAAGACCCAGGCACCTGTTTAAACTGGGACACTTCAGAGCCCCGAGGCTGTCAAATACCCAGGCCCACTCCTCCCCATCCTGCATGCTTACACACACAAGATGACAAGACCATTTTTTTTTTTCACATGCAGCAGACACAGACACTCCCAGAGCAGGGAGCTCATGCAGATAGATGCAAGGATCTGGCTCCAAGCACCAAATGCAGAGAAATCTCCAAAGGTAGGCACCTTGACGCCAGCTGATGGCATACAAGTCCCCCAGTGTCCGGCGGCGACCCATGGACCGGGGCAGAGAGCAGTACCTCCAGGAGACTGGCCAGGCAGCATGTTGGAGGGAGGTCAGAAGGCAGAGTTAAGAGCTGCTCACTCCTAGGGCTGTAGGCCTGTGAGTACCTAGCAATGTTTCCTAGGAGGGATCTACCTGGGTCTATTCCCAGCTCCAGGCATCCCAGAGAGGAGGTGCCTGGGGAACGAGCTTCATCTTGAGTAAAGAGGTGTCCAATAGACATTCTACTCCTAGAATCATTATACTTTGAAACTGTCATGGTAGAGGGAAAGAAAATGCCTAAATCTGTAGGAAGATGGGCTCCTGCCTGTCCTCTAGCTATGTGGCTCTGAGCAAAAAACAGCCCCCACTTTTGCTTTCTTTTGAGACAGGTTTTCTCTGTGTAACAGTCCTGGCTTCCTAGCTGCCCCTAAACTCATTTTGTAGACCAGGCTGGCCTCGAATTCACAGAGATCTACCTGCCTCTGCCTCCCACATGCTGGGATTAAAGGCATGTGCCACCACTGCCGGGCTAAAAATCAGCCTTTCTGAATTATCTGTATAATGGAGCTAATAGTTTCTCCTCAGGCATGTTCCTGAGCTTGGAACAAGGGTGAGGGAGGCCATTCTGAGTAAGGAGCCTATAAAACACATCACAGACTGTGCAAGGAGATACAGGCTGCCAGCAGTGTACCCCCTCCCTTTAATCTGAGCTCATCCTGTAGTAGCCTCTGGTAGCTTGGCCCCCAGTTCCCAGGAGGCCACTGAAGCAAGGCAAACAAACTCTGCAGAATGTCACTGTAGTACGACTAAATGCAAAGCCAAGTCTAATCTTTGGGTGTGTAAATTTTTGGGTTTCTAGAACCTCCTTCTCTTTACCCCCTTTTCTAATGTACTTGATTTGTTTCTGTTTCCTCAGAGCCATCCTCTAAAACCCAACAACACTCATCCCCTAGGCAGGAGGGAGACACAGGTCGCCCCATTCCCATGTTCAACAGAGAAGGCTGGGGCTTAGAGAGGCATCTCTCTCCCAGGGTTACTACCAAGGTAAAATTCACATTCAGGTCTGTCAGACTTCCAGACACTTGTGTGCAACCAGAGGCACCGAGGGCCTCTGCTTTGGGTAAGTTCTTGAAGAGAGAAAACATTGGGCCTTGTCATTGCTGGAGCATTGAGCATCACCACATACAACATCTACCATGAGGTGTCCCCAGGAAAAGGAAGTGTGTGGAAGACAGAAGGGGATACCTAATCCAATAGAAAAACCAGGCATGTTTAAATGGACAGGGTCAAAAGTCTTGCAAATAGGTAAGTATAGCTTGGTTTCGTGGCCACCACAGCAATGTTAGAGAGGAGGAGGAGGAGTAGTAGCAGTCAGCTGGGGGTCCCATAAAGGAGTGAGGGCCTAGCTTTGGCAAGGCTCACCTAGGGTAGCTTCCACAAACCCATGAGGAAGCACAGGTTTACTCCATAGTTCTAATCCCAGTCTGTACACAGCTATCAAACTATCAATCCCAGAAGGTGAGCTCCTTCCTACCTTCCTCGGGCTGGAGGGAAAACTCATCTTGCACACCATCCTGGCCCTCGAGGCAGGTTGCAGGGACCCAGCCTTGCTCTTCCGCAGTGCTGACGAACCACCAGCCTGTAAGAAGAATGCAAGGTGCTGTCAGCAGGGCAAAAAAAGGGTGTAATAATCCAGCTGTCCTTCGGCACATACGGGACTCCCTCAGGGCTCCTCTAGAGGTGCCCTGAGGGAAGCAGATCCTCACATATAGCAATCCCTCATAAAGGTATAGGATACACACAGGACCCTCCCACACCTGCAGGCCCTCATATAAAGGGTACAGGACACACCTAGGACCCTCCCACACCCCAGTAGACTTTAATGCATCCCAGGAGACTTATGCCAATAGGATGTCAAAGCTGTGAACAGTAGGCTGCAAATCTAAGGGTAAGGCAGGGAAAAGCTCTGGACATGTTCAGTACAATCACATTTTTTTTTCCTTAATTATTTTCTATCTATGGTTGGTTGAATCCAAAGATGCAAAATTCACAGGTATGGAAGCTGACCGTCAACAGTTAATGTTCAAATTAGGATAAAAAAAATATATAGCTAGCTCTTTGGTTCGAATACATCTGCCAACAGTGGCTATTAATTGCTAAAAAAACAAGCTAACAAGGAACTTGTTTCTGAACCTGGGACAGGGGTGAGGGAAGTTGCCCTGGGTAAGGAGCCTATAATGCATTTGCCAATAGTAGGGCGTGCAATGGACTGCTCATTCTACTTGCATGGTTTTGTGTAACCTTAATATTATCATCCTCATTGCAGAGTGAAGAAACTGGGACACAAGAAGGATAAGAGATGTGACCATGTTCATCAAGTGTGCAGCAGAGCTGTAGTCTGTGTTTGATCCTGAAGGCACAGGCCTCAAAATGTACTTGGCACATGCCAAGAGGAATCTGGCCACAGGACTGACTGCTCAACAGGCTTTGCACTCACACCACGTGCTCTCTGAGGAAGGGCTGTTGTGGGCCCATGGCCTCCACCTAAAGATGCCATGTTCTAATCCCTCAGTAACTGGTTTTTATATTTGTGTTTACCAACCATGAAAAAACATACACAGACCCTTAACATTACACCCTAAACCAGTGGTTCTCTACCTTCCTAATGCTGCAACTCTTTAATACAGTTCTTCATGTTGTGGTGACCACCCCGACCATAAAATTATTTTCATTGCTACTTCATAACTGTTATGAACTGTAGTATAAATATCTGATTGCAGGACATCTGATATGTGACCCCAAAAGGGGTCACGACTCACAGGTTGAGAACCTCTGCTCTAAACAAACAGTAAATGTGGTAACTACATTATATGAAGCATAATGCCACCTAGAGAGGATGTATAGTATTTGGAGGTTGTGTACAGGTCAAAAGTAAACCCTCAGTCTGTTTATATAAGGGACGGAGCATTATCTGTCCAATATATGTTTCTTCTTCACATCCTTCCTAGCAACCCATCCTGGTGGCTTAGGGATGGGCACTGCTTCCTTTTGTGTCCCTTGGTATCTATCTCCTTGCCATACAACCTTCATACATCTCTTGGGAACTAGAAAACCACAGAGTTAGGAACAGTGGAACTCCAGCTCTACAGCCTGCATTCACTTGGAGTCTGGTTCATCCAGCTATAGCACAAGGATTGTTGTGAGATGATGTGTGTTTTTCAGTTTCCATCCATGGGTCACTATTCCTGTAGCTTTCGAGACTTAAGCAGCTAGAATACTATTGGGGCACTGTAGGCCTCAGAAGATTGGGACACACACTCTCTCTGGCATTTCTTGCCTGCCCCTTACATTTGTTTTTTCTGCCTGATGCAGGCATGGAAGTGAAGATTTCCCTCCCCCAAGGGAAGTCATAGAAGCTAAAAATAGGCTCTAATCTTTTTTCACCTTGGAGTTCCTGGCTACAAAGAAATTAAATGATCTGACCTACTTTGATAATAGATTATAAAATTTCCATTTTGGAAGAGTTCCTACCCTATACAACACAGAGGCCAACAAGAGTCTGGATGAGCAGCCTGGCTGGTTTCCCCAGTATCTATTAGCATTTGATCTGACCCTTTTTATTCAACCACAGGTCAACACAGCTGCCAATTGTGCCTCTTCAGTGAGATCTCTGAGAACTCTGGGGGTTTGAAGAGCTTGCTGAGCACAGACGTTCTTGGAAGGCAGCATCCATAGAAGGTGTGTAATTGAAATGTTTCTCCTACCACTTGTCCATGCGTTCCTTTGCCTATATTCTTTTGAGCATCCTTGACAATGACCCTACAAGTATGTTTCTCTTGGTCTTAAAAGCCACTTAATGGAGACAAAGGGGGGCTGTGTGAAGCATGCTTGATAGCCAGCTGTAGGAAATGCAGGCAGAGTAACTAGGTTTGTACCTGGCTAAGGCAATGAGGGATAGCCTGAGCCTATGGAATCCAGCGCTACCCTGAGATTTGCAGGGTCAGAACAGAATTGGATTAAAGGATCTTAGGTGTCCACTGAAGAAATGAGTGCTGCTCATTGTGGGAGATATCCTCTTATCTTTTACAACCACGGGCGTGGCCTTGGAAGAGTTAGAGCATGGGACACTGAGATGGTGTTGTAGCGGTCCTTCCTTCCAGGTCATCAAAGGTGATAATGATTTCTAGACTGCATAATTTAGAGGTCTGGTTGGCTAATGCTAGCCTCATGACTAATGGTGACATGACCTGGAGGATGCCGGAAACATCATCTTCCTGTATTCTTGGAAGCAGGGACTATTCCTAGATTGCACAGTAGGGTCTGATTGTCTAACACCAGTCTCATGATTAATGTGGGTAATGGTAACTTGAAGGATGCTGGAAACACCTTCCTTCCACAGTTACATGGACTTAACTAGCCATCATACAATCATAGAGCTTAGCTCCTAGCTACTGGGAACCCAGTTGGGGGAGGGTGGGTGCTCACTCCCTACTTTTTCTGCATGGTGTAATGGCCGCTATGCAGCTAAGGGAGGAAGAAAAGGGAAGGAAGCATGCATTTCTGGAGCACATGCTGTGTGCCAAGTTCCGGTTGAAGCACTCTCTACAGTAGATCATTTACTCTTTCAACAGCTCTTTTGACAGTTTTCTGTGTTTTGTGGATGACAAAATTGGTGGCCAAAGGCATAGATCAACCTGGACTGATGTGCAGTGTAGAATCCAGGCCCTCTGTCTCAATCACCCCACCACTGGATGTGACCAGTGGTTCTGGGATGACAGGTGGGTTGAGGAGATAGGTGGATGCCCATCCTCTCTGAACAGTTTCTTTTCTTTCTTTCTTTTTCTTTTTTTTTGGAGATACAGTCTATGCAGTCCAAGATAACCTAGAACTTGAGGGTCTCTCATCTCTACAAGTGCTGGAATACAGGAGTGTGCCATCTCAGATCTGCAGCCTTCTAGAGGACTCCCAAGGGAAATCAACAAGAAAATTCTCAACGAAACACTCAACTCTGTACTTGAAAACCAGAAGGAATGTTTATGGTTATGAATGTCAGAACAACTGGCTGCTGACTTAGTTGCTACAAGCTCTCAGTGGTTCGGGGGAGCCAAGCCAGGTTGGTTTGCTTATGTGTTTTGGAGTTTGTACATGCTTCTGGTTTGTGGGGCTTGGCGATGGAGCAGGGTGCAAGTGAGGGAGGTAGTCCAGGCAGGTCCTCACCTGACTCGTTCTTCTCAATGATGTCCACCACTTGGCCCACACTGAGGCTGATCTCTGAGCTCTCCTGCTTCTGATAATCTGCCACTACCACATACTGCTCCAGGACCATGGGGTCCACCGAGGTCAGGTCACTCCCTGTGAACAGCAAAAGCTATCAGGTACCCCATTAGCTCCTGCCCATGTACGGAGGAGCAGAAAGCAGGGGGAAGGTTGGGTCAGGGGGCTTTCTAAGCAAAGAAAAATCTTTGTTACAGGATTTATCGTGCCCTGACTCTCCATCCTTGCATCCTCTCATTCACTTACTTACTCAGCCACCAAAGTTTACCAAGAGCACTTGGGTTCCAAGTGAGTAAGATGTGGCACATGCCCAGAAGCTGGTTGCTTAAGGGAGGGGTGACTCAAGAGGATGGTTTAAAAGTTGAGGTCACCATCCTGCCAGTCTTCATCACCCAGCTTCATCCTAAATTCCTCACCTGTGAACTCATTAGTCTCCAGTGATGCACTACATATTTTGTTGGGGACCACAGGCACAAAACTGGAGGAAATGATGACTACCAATCTTAACTAATAGGGGAGATAGACATGTGGTAAGTAAACATTTACACATACATATGTACACACACACACACACACACACACACACACACACACACACACACACACACGAGATCAAATCACAGAATTATCAGCCTGGAGATATTCAGCGCGGCAGGATAGAGAGTGGACAGGCAAGGCAAAGGTGTACCAAATGAGTGGTCAGTAAGACTTCTCAAGGAGTGACAGAATGTGGAGGCTCATGAAGGGAGGTGTCCTGGGAGCCGGGGAGGACTGGAGCAGGTAGGTGGAGTTCTTCCAGCATGGGGAAGCCGGGGACCTTGAGGAACAGGCTGAGGCTGGGAGGCCTTCGGTCAGAAGGAAGGCACTGCCCTGAGAGGAGCGCCTGAGGAAAGTGGTGCTCCGAGGTGAGGGAGCAGTTTGGATTTGTGAATCCCAAAGAGCAGGGTAAGAGTTGTGTGAAAGGGGAGCCAGAAGATGGCTCACCGGTTAAGAGCACTGGCTATTCTTCTAGAGGTCCTGAGTTTAATTCCCAGCAACCACATGGTGGCTCACAACCATCTATAGTGGGATCTGATGACCTCTTCTGGCATAAAGTCCTTCCTGCAGATAGAGTACTCTTTTACATAAAATAAATAAATACATCTTTTAAAAAAAGTTCTATGAAGGGAATGGCAAAGTTTACACCTGGACAAGTGACTCTGGCTGTCAATGTAGAGAGAGGTGGAGGCTAGCAAGGGAGAAAGTGCTCCAGACTGAGGGTATGAAGTTGTCAGAAAAGAGGTTAATGGGGGGTGGGGGAGGAGGCGGAGGAAGAGGAGGAGGAGGAATAGTAACATGTGATTAGACTGGGGCTTTAAATGAGGCTTCAGACCATTCATATTGCAACTAAGCCCTATTATGAATGGTGCCAGGAATATCCGAGGCAGATAGAATTTAGAAGTTGCCAAGGATGAAATAAAGGATTCCAAGGCTATATCACACAGCCCATAAGGAATTGACAGCAGAAGGGTTATTCTTGTCATTAATGCTAAAAGTATTTTCAAGCCACACAGTGCCTACTCTCAGATAAATTTTTGAGTTAGGTGTTTTTTCTTTCTGATGACATCTTGAATTTTTAAAGTGATGAGTAATGCCAAACTAAGATTTTTTTTTCCTTCCATAAGTTCACTAAATTGCAAGGCTTGCTGGAAGAATCTGTAAATAAGCTCTTGCAAGCATCAGATGACCTGCTCAACTGTGGTGAGATGCCCCCACCCCCCACCCCAGTCGCCATGGGATAAGCAGAATTTGAGGCCACATGAGTCAAGACTACAAGAGCCAGCTGGCTGTGACTGGGCAGTTCTAGGGACAGACAAGCCTTCTCCCATCCAGAGTTTGTCATAGAAAATGTAGATGTTTTCTGTTTTTAATTCGAATCTCTTTAAAATTCAATCAAGAAGGCTGGCTCTAAAATCAAGGTAGTGTCCACCGGTCAGATAAATAAGGAGCCCATTGAGGGTTTGGAGTCTGAATTCAGAAGGTGCCACGTTCCAGCCAGTAGGGCTATAAATAAACTTGAGCCCCATCATTGCAGGTGAGTGATGTCAACCACGGCCACCACAAATTAGAGCCTGGGCTCTCTTTTCCAGACAGGTCCCCTCATCAAGCCTGTTCCACCGGACACTTATTTTTGCCAACCAGAGCTGCCTCCTCCCTCTCTCCCCTCCTTCTCTCTGGCTCCTTCTAGGGGAGTCTCTGCATACTCAAAGCCAGAAACTCTGAGCCCAGTGGCAGCTGCTCTCTGATCTTGCTAAGAAAAGAAATGTATCATTATCCTGGGCCGAGGGCCGTTTGCAGCTTTAGCAGGATGCCATGGCTGTGGCCAGTACCCACTAAACCCCAAAGGAGAGCCAGACACAGTTAGTGAGCAAAAGGGGCCCTGGCTGATTCCAGAAGCTGTGCCTCAAGTAAAGAGTCCTCACTTTCCGCCATGATCAGCCTAGATGCCTGTAAAGCTGATCCCCCCTGCTCCCAGCAGGAAAAGGAGACCATAGCTTAAAATGTGGACCTTCTCCCAGAGACATCTACACGCTTGAGTGATAATCAAACAGCATCAGTTAGACACTACTAAAAGTGCCTTACACATACTACTATAGACTACCTGACAATCCAGTAAAACACATTAATTATTCTCTCTCTCTCTCTCTCTCTCTCTCTCTCTCTCTCTCTCTCTTCTGTGTGTGTGTGTGTGTGTGTGTGTGTGTGTGTGCGCGCGCGCGCGCGCACTTGAATGGAATCCAGGGCCTTGCACATGTTAGGCAACTATTCTACCATTGAGCCACACCCCAGGCCTGGATGTCACACATGAGTAAACTGAGGTAATGTCCTCAGTTTTCACTTACGGAATCTCTGCCTGTGCCTCCTCATGGAGCCCCTCAAACATTCTGGGGTTCAAGGAGGGCAGGATCCTGGAAGTTCTGAAGCCCAGCTGAGGCTGCCAGCAGGAGGGAGCATGGGCAGTAAGAAGAGTAGGGTTGCTGACGTTGTCTTTAGAATGCACAGCCTGTGGGAACCATTGCCCCCACCTCTCTTTCTCATGACCTCTGCTATAAGAGTGACATCATCCTAAGAATAGCATGGCTGTCTGAGGAAAGCCTATCGTGTGAGAAGGGAGCCCAGCAAGGCTTGTGTGACAGGCACAAAGCTCTGCCCAGGGCAGTGGTCTGAAGGGCTTAGAGGCCAGCCAGAGCTGAGGTTGTCTGCGGTAGACTTCACCTCCCTGCCTCGATGCTTGGTGTCCTCTCAGCCTGAAATTCCCTTCTCTCTTTGGAAAGCTCAACTTTAGTCCCTGTGATTCAGGGACTCTATCATCTCACCCCTCCCAGCCCTGGGGAAAGGTCTGAGTGTCCACATTGCTTTGTACAAAGTGGAACAGAGGCATAGAACCCTCTGCAGCACGGTTAGGAAGGCGTCTGTCTTCCCATGCCACAGGCACTCTCACCTCATCCTCTCCATAGTAGTTTTATCAAGGGATAAAATAGCCCCAAATCCTTCTTCAATCATCAGCCCATCCATGCATCCATCCATCCATGCATCCATCCATCCATCATCTCCATCCACAATGCATCCAACTACATACCTGATTACCATCCATCTGTCCTTTTATCCCTCTGTCTATCCACCCATCCATCTACCATTCATCTGCATTGTTGTGTCCCCAGCATGTAACCCAACAAGGGAACATGACAGGAATGAAAAGAAGAGAATGGAATATATGCTTACCCGATTTCTTCTTCCCAATATGCTCCCTGTGTAGGAGAGAGGGGTGAGAGAGAGCCAGTCAGTCCTTGTTTGTAGTGAGATGATCCTATTAGGATGGTGACAGTCTCCACCCACAGCATTCTCAGTGAATTCAAGTCCACCACAGGAACCCAGACTTCTTCTAAGAAAGACTCCCTCTTTGAATTCTGCCTTTATCTGTTTTAGATCCTCGGACCAAGTTTTCTATGCATTTGGAAGAGTGGAGATCCTAGGAAAGAGTCTCAGTCTGCCTAGCCATCACACTCTTTGGCAAGCTTGGTGGTGGTGGTGTAGAAGAGCTGTGGGTTAGGGACACTTAGCCAGGTTCCGTTGCCTCTTAAATGGGACCATCCTTGGACCATCCTTAGCTCAGGTACAGTGACTACACAGGCTGCAGGCAGTGAGACCCTGCAGGGGCCAAGGCAATGAATTCTGGCTTAGTTTTTACTTTGCTGACTTTAGGTCCCTGTGGGTCTGAAAGGACAACAGGAGGGGAGGAGGGAGGGAGGTGTCACTTGGGTAAGTCCACAGACCAACTTACTCTTTGGGAGGATTCAGGTCTTCAGGTCTTGTTTCAAAAAACTGCAGCACCTCATCACATTGAGAGATGTAGGGAGGCAGCTGGATCAGGGCCTAGAGCAGAGACATGGGTGAGCCCGAGGAAGGAGAATGCTGTCACCAGCTGTTCTTAAATTCAGACAGGCACTAGGATCACACGGGGGTATTCCTAAAACATAGACAGGGGCCCACCAGAGCTTTTGATTTAGCAGGCCTGTGGTGAGGCCTGAGACCAAGCATTTTAACAAACTTCCTGGTGATGCTGATGTCTTTGGCTTGGAGAACACACACATAAGCACATGCATTCTCCAAGATGTACGGAGATAATACATTCTGCTGGCATATGTGGAAACATTAAATGTTCATACTTACACAATCTAGCCCATACTGTACATGCTATTTTGGAGAGCGATGCTTTTACTAACAGTGTGAACTCCATTAATTTCATCTTTACCTACCATTTTCTTCTGTATACCATCTTTACCACATCACTGGAGAACATCTGAATGTGTTCAACACATGTCTGAATTTCCCAAGCTGAAGCTATAAATCCCAATGATTTGGATACAGGTTCCTAGCCATCTGGCAGAGTGGCTCAGGTGGGTTATAACGGAGCCTGGCTACATCTACAGTCAGGCTGCATGAAGTAAGGTAGGTACAAAGGAGGCCATAGGCATTTGTTCTGTCTGCTGATCTACAAACAAGGAGTCATTTGAGAATTTAACAGGTATCTTCTTTGCCAAGTGCTCATCACCGAGGAGGCATCACACTGAAAGAACACCACAATTCTACATTTAGTTAAGGTCCCCTCCTCTCATAGAGCAGGTCCTGGACCAGGAAGATGGAGGTGCAGAAAGCTCATGGTAGAGCTAGCTCAGGCTCCTGTTATCGCAGCCATAGTAAATGTGTAGGGTATAGGGGAATCATCTTTTTGTACACTGTGAAGGTGTGTCTTTGCCAAGATGTCTTCTGATTGGTTTAATAAAGCGCTGAATTGTCAATAGCTAGGCAGGAAGAGATCAGGCAGGACTTTCAGACAGAGAGAGAAAAGGGGGTGATGAATCTAGGCACAAGAGAGACACCAAAGGACACAGAGAGCAAACAGGAGGTTGACGATGGAGGACAGGTAAAAAGCCATGATGCACTGGATGGTGGTGGTGCACACCTTTGTTCTCAGCACTTGGGAGGCAGAAGTAGGCGGATCTCTGTGTGTTCAAGGCCAGCCTGGTCTACAGAGCTGTTACACAGAGAAACTTTGTCTTGAACTCCCACCACCAAAGCCACTAGGCAAAACACAGATTAATAGAAATGGGATAATTTAAGCTATATGAGCCAATGTGACAAGCCTTAGATATAGAATGTGCTTTCAAAATTAGTAAGTCTCCGTGTCTTTTTTTTTTTTTTTTTTTTTTTTTTTTTTGTGAGCTGGTGGCCCAAAGGGAAAAAAAAATCCATCTACATATAGTGTCCAATGTGGTGGCTCAAATATCCAAACAGGGCCCAAGAAAGCTAAAAAAAAAAAAAAGACTTTCTAGTCCTGCAGTCTCTGAGATGGGCCGGTGCTTGTTGTACAGAGGCACAGCTACCTGCTGCCCCATGTATAGGTGCTCAGTAAAGACAGATCCAGATGGAGGAAAAACTCTAAGCAGGTTACAGTGTGTTTAAAAAATGTGTGTAGGCTTAAAAGAAAAGAAAATGGGTATAGAGAGTCAAATTAAAAAGTTTACAAATAATAAAGTCTTTAAAGAGAGAATAAAATAATATAAAAAGAGTAAGCCACGTAAAGATGGAAAATACACAGAGAGTCTGGATCCTGTATGGTGCCTTGTTAACTAATTTTTTTGATTGCTGACAAGCAAATGATAGCTGCTGAGAGGCATGGGACTTTAAGAGGGAATGCTGTATTAAACCAGCCTAGATACTTTAGGGATGCCTTATCTTTAAAATGGAGGTCAGTAAATGTATTGCATTGGGGAGGAGGTTATGCTTTTGTTTCCACAGACAACAAAAAGCTGTGGATTCATTCAAAGTTGATGGAGATCAAGTTTGATCAGGAGAGATCCCTTGAAAATTCTGGTTACAGACATAAAAAGATAAACCTAGACAAACTACAATACAGGTGATGTATATTTTACCTGCTTAAACATAAAACAACAACAAAAAAATCATCTTTGGCTGGCTTGTATACAACAAACAGTCCATATTTGTGTTAATGCAGATATGTATGCTTCCTTTGAAAGTTTGTGTGTTTTCTGAGCAAGGGAACCAGACACCAGTGAAAATGGTGCCTCTGTTACAGCTTCCTCAGACTTCTGCATCCAGAGCAGCTTCAACACTGCTGGCTGAGATGTTCCAGTCTCACAGACTATTCTAGCCAGAACAGCAGATAAGCCTGTACTTTCCCATTGCACAGAGACTGGACAACACATGTTATATAGCTAGTTTTCCCAGGACTTTACCATTACCTCAATTTTCTCAGGTCCTCTAAAGATGCCATCACCCCCAGACAACAAGCAGTCTAGAGAACATGAGGACCCACATTCCCAAGTGGTGGGGTGGCTGGGTGGCTTCTGGTGATTTGTTGGGTTACGATGTTTGTTATCATCTACTCTCTGTCCTTTTGAATTTTTCTTCTAGGTGCCTCCTAGGTGGGACCAGATAGCATTTGCCCCTTCATGTCCAGCTAGTATCTTAGAGCATGCTCACCCATTCAAGGGTCATGCTTATTGAAGCACATGTCAGTATTTCTTTGGGCTAAATAACAAACTATTGTCCATGTGCATTGCATTTCCCTCATCCATCCATGAACAGGTGGGCTGCTGGCTCCATTTTTTTAGAGGATAATAGTGTTGGGGATGGGACCCAGGGTTCACACTAGGAAGTGTTCTATTGCTGAATTTCACCTCAGTCCCAATGAGCTTGCTTTCTTTCTTTCTTTCTATCTATCTATCTATCTATCTATCTATCTATCTATCTATCTGCCTATCTATCTATTTATTTTTAATGCACTTTGGTGTTTTGCCATGGGTGTCAGGTACCCTGGTACTGGAGTTATAGACAGTTGTGAGCTGCCATGTGGGTGCTTAGAATTGAACCCAGGTCCTCTGGAAGAGCAGACAGTGCTCTTAACTACTGATATCTCTCCAGCTCCTTGTTGATCATTTTAATTTGCCACAAAGCATCTCCTACTCTGCATCTGGCACCAGGAGGGACCTTTGCCAGGGAGAAGGACCATACTCTTCTGCTCCACCTTCCACTCAGATGCATTTCCTTTTTCTAATTCTGTGCAACGAGTGGTCATCCTTCCACCTTGCCCTGGGCTGGCTGTGGGTCTTTCCTCTGAAGTCCTGTGCTGAACCACATCAGGGAGTTGAAATGGTATGCCAGTTGAATTGTGCCATGCCCTGCTGTATGGACACCTTACATCTACCCAGTTTGTGTCAGCAACAGGCTCTTCAGCAGTACTCTCAAGAATAACTAACACTTTCTCTAGTTAGTGAGGCTTTGCTCTGGAAGGACAATGAACTGCTATAAATCAAGCCTTTCTGACACATTTTGCTCTTTTGTTTTCCATCATGAGTTGGGAATGCTTAAGAAGCTCTTGCTGGCACCACACACAACAACTTCCCAGCTTCCAGAACTATGAGCCAAAAGAAACCCGTTTTCCTTATTAGATATCCAGTCTCAGATATTCTGCTATAGCAACAGGAAATGAGCTAGACAGGGTTGTACTCAGATGTCCTGGGGCTAGAGGTATAGTTCAGTACAGAGCATTTGCTAGCTTGGTATCTATGAGACCCTGGAATCAATCCTCAGTACCAGCAGGTCCTAGTGGTGCACACCTTTAATCCCAGCACTTGGGAGGCAGAGGCAGGCAGATTTCTGTGAGTTCGAGACCAGCTTAGTCTACATGGTGAGTTCCACTACAACCAGAGCTATACAGTGAGACAGTCTCAGAAAACAAACAAACAAACAAATCAAACCAACTAAACAAACAAACAAAATCCCTGGTACCAAATTCCCAACAAAACCCAGTTCATTTTAGAAAAGAGTCCTTCAAGATGTCAGCCATGTCTGTCTTGGATAAACCCCACAGTCTGCAGTCATCAGCATTACCATTGTTAGAAATGATTTTTTTTCTCTATTGGAGAAGTGAGATGTGTTCTAGAGATATTCTGACGCTCTGGCCCCGTGTGAACAGAAGCCAGTGAGGCCATGTCTCACATACATCCTTCACAATCGTGCCCAGGGGCTGAGCCTCTTCTTGAGGGTTTTATAACTGGGTTTAGCTGGTCTGCCCCTAGAACTTTCTGCATCTGTTCTGGGCAGTCAGTCGCTCATGCCAAGTGCTGCCAGATAGACAGCTGGTATTTCAACGAGCCCCAGAGCAAGCTGAATGGCTGTTTATAAGGCTGTGTGACAATACAAGCTCATCATTGAGACAGGTTCAGGAGTCGTGTTTTCACTGTGTCTTTTTATAGACAGAAGTTCTTAGATGAACTGTGGCCAAATAAATACATCTTATTTGTGATCAGTACATTTTGTCTTTAAAAATCCCCCTCCATGCATAATAATAATAATAATAATAATAATAATAATAATAAATTAAAAAGTGGTACATTTACTACTCAGCAGTAAAAGACAATGACATCCTAAAATTTGCAGGCAAATGGACAGAACTAGGAAACAAAACAAAACAAAACATCCTGAGCAAGGAAACCCAAGCCCAGAAAGACAAATATAGTATGTACTCACTTATAAGTGGATACCAGACATAAAGCAAAATATACCCAGCTTACAATTCACAACCCCAGAGAAGCTAGAACCCTCTTCCAGAGACAGATGGAAGCAGATGCAGAAATCCACAATTAACTGTTGGGCCAAACTCCTGGAGTACAACTGAAGTGAGGGAGAAGCAATAATATGAACAAAGGAGTCTAGACCATGATGCGGAAACCCACAGAATCAGCTGACCCAAGCTAGTGAGAGATCACTGACTCAGGTCTGACAAATGGGGAATCTGCATAAGACTGAACTATACTCCTTTAATATAGGTGACAATGGTGTCACTGGGA